TATTATAAAATGTTTGAAAAAATTAATAAGCCTAAAAACTGAGACTGAGGCCAGCAGGTGGCACAGTAGTTAGGGCACTGTACCCCTACATGGCTGATGGCTGACATCAGTTCGAGTCCTGGACTCGGCAGCTTAATAACCACGTAGGGCACCGGCGTGTGTGTGTGCCCAGAGTCCTGACAGGAGAACAGAAGAGAGGGTGGTGGAGCATGATCATCCTTTCCTTGTGTAGTGATTTCTCATTTTTCCTCTCTCTTTGTCTGTTACAAGCACATGTGCCTTATGGCAAAAATCTTTAAGAAAAAAAAAAAGGAAAAGTCTACTGTGTAATCTACTTATTATTGAAGCCAGCCCCTACATGACTGAGTGGCATATGAATCCCAGGTGGAGCTGCTAGAAAAACACTGGGGATGTATGTGACCAAATATCTCCACCTCTCACGAGGAGATGGAGAAAGAATTGAGATATGACCAGGTCCCATGAGGGATTTTTGCACTACAGACTTGACCACAATGGAAAACACCTATTGCAGAGACCCTTTTTAAAAATTATTTTTATTTTTTGAGGTTTTATTGCTATAGGGTGCACGCACTCACTGGAGAGGCACAGATAGGCAGAAAGCAAGAAATCACTGCCTAGGTGGCATGGCCATGCCACAATCCTTTCTCCTCCATTCTCCTCTCAGGATTTTGAGCACTCACACACATGGGTCTGGTGTGAGTTTAAAGCTGCCAGTTCCAGGACTCAAACCACAGTATGCTATCTGGGAGTCCAGCAATGTAACCATTGTGTCATCTGCTGGTCCCACAGATATCCATTATTAACATAATTGCCTTTCTAGTAGAAAGATGCTATCCTTTATGAGTGTGTAAAATGCATCATACTGTCTCATGTAAATTATTTTTGTATTTTGCTTCTTATACCTGTCTGTTACTTTGATTACTGAGTCTGAATTAAGATGAAAGGCCTGTGATTGAATTATAAAATCTAGAGTTTTTATTGGAAAAAAAAAGAGTTCTCAAGTCTTCTGGATAGTTTAGTACAAGCGCACACTATTCTGTGTGTACATCTTGACATCTTGAATGGCTACAGCTGTTATTGTTATGCAAGGCTGGGACTAGGGTTAATTTTTCCCCAGACTATTAAAGTACTTTAAAAGTAATGAAATATTGGGAGCAGCAGGTGGCATGGTGGTTAAGGCGCTGGACACTCCCATGTGGCTGACCATGGTTCAAGTCCCAAATGTGGTGGCTTGCTTTCTCATTTTCCCTCTCTCTTTCTCTCTCTGTGTCTTTCTCTGGTCAAATTAAAACAAATGAATGAATAAATAAAATGAAATAAATAATTCTTTAAAAAATACTTTATTATTAAATAGGTATATTGACTAACATCATTCATTTGTTTAAATATTTTATTTACACAAATTAGAATTTATTATAAGTCTGCTGGCTTTAATGGAAGAAATTCATAAATAATATTTTCAAAATAAAATTATAGAAAACCTTTAGTCATTAAAAATACGTAAAGAGGTGGGACCAGCAGTTAGTGTAATGGCTATGTCGCGGGACTCCTTAAATATTTTATTTACACAAATTAGAATTTATTATAAGTCTGCTGGCTTTAATGGAAGAAATTCATAAATAATAATTGGGCCGGCAGCGTGTGCGTGCGTGCCCAAGATCCCGAGAGGAGAATGGAGAAGGGATTGTGGCATGGCCATCCTCCCTGGGAGGTGATTTCTCGCTTTCTGTCTCCCTGTCTCTCTCTGTCTGTCTGGCGAGCACATGCACCCTGCAGCTAAAACCTCTCCAGAAAAAAAAATACGTAAAGATATATGTATATATAGGGGTTCCTATTTTTCCTTTTCCCTCAAGCTCCAAATATGATCCAGTATAACATCATCAGAGCCTGTCTTTATTTAAAATTCAGATATTTTGTTCATTGTGGATGCTTTACATTAATTCCCATTCATAAACAACACTTTATTAAGTGTTATTTATTTTGATTACTGAGTGTTTTGGTACCACTTAAATTTTGCATCAAAGTAAGTTCCTCACCCATCTCACCTTAGTTTTGGCTGCAGAAGAATCAACACCTGGAAGGCTGAGACAGTCACAAAGAATTGGAACCCCTGATCATGTCCTGAATTTTTAGAGAGACCTTACATTAGACACATATTTTTAAGTTACAGGACAAGAACATTCTCCTTTATGCCCAAGTTACATTACTTATAATGTGACATGCCCTGATAACACAAACAGGAAAAAAAATTACTTAAATATTTTAATTTTCAATTTCTTTTTTATTACTTTATGCTGTGGCCACTACTATTTTCTAGATGGAAACAAAAGAATGTATTGTAATATATGTACCGTAATTTATTGCCCTATTGATGGATAGGAAAGTTGTAACAATTTTTGCTATTGCAACAAGTCTAGCAACAGATATCCTTATAGGTGTATCTATATATTCTCATGCTGTAATTTCAGCAAGTGGTTGTCAGAGTGAAATTACTGAATGAAAACATTTGCACAGTTATTTATCTATTTTTAATTTGCTAGAGTGCTTGGAGAGAGTGAGCAAGCAAGCACCCATGGGGAATGGTCACGCTTCAATCCTTTCTCTTTTATTTCTCCCTTCTTTCAGGATTTTGGGCAAGCACATACATGTGCTGAGCATGTTTTTCAAGCCACTGGGTATGGGACTTGAGTCTCATAGTCAGTTATATGGATTCTAGTCACCTTACACCCTCCCACCAGATGGACCGATTCAAATTTTTTCACGATATCATCAAATTACTTTCCAAAATGGCTCTACTGGGTTCCTTGCCACAAGCACTGGGGTCTAATTGTTTTCCAATCTTCTTAGAGAACTGGTATTTCAATGTAATATTTATTTTTGTTTCTTTAAATTTTGTAAGGTTGAGCATCTATTCATATATATGGTAGCCATCTTTTTTAAAAAAATAATTATTTATTTATTTAATTCCATTTGTCATTATTATTTTTTAATTTGGCCAGGCAGCGACAGAGAAAGAGAGAGAGAGAGAGCACGCGAGAGTGAGAAAGCAAGCTGCCAGGTCCAGAACTCAAATCGTGCAGGAATCCAGTGCCTTTAACCACCGTGCCACCTGCTGGCCCCACCATCTGTTTTTCTGTAGTGTGAATTGTTTATTCTGAATCTGCACACTTTATAATTTTTCCTTATTCATTTATACTCTTAGTATTTAAAGATATTAATCTTTTGTACATTATGTTTTATAATTTTTTTTACCCTAGGATTGTCGTTTATCCTTATTTACATTTTTACATAATTGCATCATTCAATTGTTACTTTCTATGGATTTTAGTATTTTCATATTATTTAGATCTTTCTAATTCCCCAAATATTTCTCCATGTTTTCTATTTTTCTTTTCTTTTCTTTTCTTTTTTTTTGAGAGGTTTTTGCTATAGGGCGTGTGTGCTCGCCAGAAAGACACAGAGAGACAGAGAGACAGAAAGCAAGAAATCACCCCCTCAGGGAGGATGGCCATGCTGCAATCCCTTCTCCTCCATTCTCCTCTTGGGATCCTGGGTACACATGCACATGCTCCTGGTGAGTTTAAGCCACCGGCTCCAGGACTCATACCGTGGTTGACTACATGGGAGTTCAGTGACATAGCCATTATACTAACTGCTGGTCCCCATGTTTTCTCTTAACACTTTCATTTGAATGTATTAATATTTCATAGTTTTATTTTTAAATAATTATTTTATTTAAATTTATTTATTTATTTTAATTTTTCCAGAGAGAGACAGAGAGAGAGTGCAAGACAGAGAGAGAAAGTGAGAAAGTAAGCTGCCAGGTCTGGAACTCGAACTGTGGTCAGCCATGTGGGAGTTCAGCACCCTTAACCACCATGCCACCCGCCAGCCCCCATAATTTTATTTTTCAATGTCCATCTTTATATGGAATTTGTGTTTGTTTACTGAGTAAGGTAGGAACTAATTCTATTCTTACTTAAATAGTATAATACAATTTTCCAGTGCCATTAACTGAACAGACCTTTTATTTTTTTTTTCTAAAGTGCTGCTCTATCATATTTTAAATTCTGGATATATTTGTAATAGTTTCTGGGATCCATTTTAGGTAGCACGATGCATTCAATAGTAATAACTCACATTTGCTTAGTATAGCTCTAACAGGTATTATCCTATGCAGTTTAGATAAAGTATTTCATTCTTGCAAGATGAGTATGAATAATTCAGTTTCACCTATCAGGCTACATTTCTAAAATGTAAAAAATTTGCCTTTTGTTAATAATCTCAAAGTTGGGACCCTAGGATTGGAACCCAGGGAAGGACTCCCAAATAATAAATATTTATGCTACGAATTGAAAAATCAGTAGGACTTTGACAAACACCAAACAGAAGAGTAAGTTTCAGATTAAGAGGAAAGTTTGAGATAAGTCATGCAAGTTGTAAAGCTCAGATATTGTGCAGATAATAGTAATACTTTTAGCTTTGTTAGAAGGCCTAAAGGTGATTAAAACTGGAGAAGAGAGTAGCAGTATGGTTGTGGAAGGTCAATAAATCATTATGTAAGGGTTGTAAGGGAAAATGTAGTAAGATTTTTCCTACAGTGAGACTACAGTACACCACTCAGACTACAACATGGCTTATGAATATAAAGTGGTTGAGGATGGGAAGCTGGGAGATGGGAGACCAGACTAGTTTAGGACACTATTGTAATGCAGCAAGTGAGTAACGATCAAAGCCTGAGTATGCAAGTGAGAATGAGGAATTATGTGTGGGATCTATACATGAACTGAGATTGATCAGTGACCATTGTTTATTTTTGCAATAATAATGTGGGAAGGGAAAGCATAACATATACTTGAAGTCAAGACTTTGGTGATTGATTCTAGGATTTAATGGTCAACTTTTTTATGGACATTTTAGCTGACTCTGCCTAATGCCTCACTTTGTTTAGTCTTTGCAGAAAGACTCCAAAAGCAGGCATGTTTGGGGCTAATCTCACCATCTTCCATCCCACTGTGTTCATCCTACTTGGCATCCCTGGACTGGAGCAATACCACACCTGGCTTTCTGTTCCTTTCTGCTTCATGTACATCACTGCAGTCTTGGGAAATGGAGCCCTCATCCTGGTTGTTCTCAGTGAGCGCACCCTGCATGAACCCATGTATGTTTTCCTGTCCATGCTGGCTGGCACCGACATCCTGTTGTCTACCACCACAGTGCCCACGGCCCTGGCTATCTTCTGGTTCCATGCTGCGGAGATAGCCTTTGATGCCTGCATTACTCAGATGTTTTTCATTCATGTTGCTTTTGTGGCTGAGTCAGGAATCTTGCTGGCCATGGCATTTGACCGCTATGTGGCCATTTGTACTCCCTTGAGATATACAACCATCTTAACTCCTATGACCATTGGAAAAATAACCTTGGCCATCTGGGGACGGGGCATTGGGACCATTTTCCCTATCATATTCTTACTGAAGAGACTGCCATACTGCCAGACAAATATCATTCCCCACTCATATTGTGAGCATATTGGCGTGGCCCGATTGGCCTGTGCTGACATCACTGTCAATATCTGGTATGGTTTCTCTGTGCCAATGGCTTCAGTTTTGGTGGATGTTGCACTCATTGGTGTTTCCTACACGTTGATCCTCCGAGCTGTGTTTAGACTTCCTTCCCAGGATGCCCGGCATAAGGCGCTCAATACCTGTGGTTCACACATTGGGGTTATTCTCCTCTTCTTCATCCCATCCTTCTTTACTTTCCTGACCCACCGCTTTGGCAAGAACATCCCCCACCATGTCCACATCCTTCTGGCAAATCTCTATGTGTTAGTTCCTCCCATGCTTAACCCTGTAATCTATGGAGCAAAGACCAAGCAAATAAGGGACAGTATGGCTCACATGTTATCTATTGGGGGGAAGTCTTGAGAAAACTCATAGTACTTTTATTGTTTCTTCTTACCAGCAGGAGAAAAGAGAACTTGCTGCTGAAGTTCCAAAGCTTAGGCAATGTAATGTGTTGTCACAGAAAGCACATAGGCTTTGGAATAAAATTTATCTGGATTCAGATCTTGGTTTCCTTACTTTCTGATTTTTTTAAAAAATAATTAATGTATTTATTTCATTTTCTTTTATACATTCAATCACATTATTATTTGGCTTACAAAATGGATATTTCAACAGGTGAACATTTCTCCCTAGTACAATTGATAAAACTACAAAATATCTTCAACAGATAATACCACATTTCTTTGTGCCATTAATGCTTTGCCTCCCTATTTTCCTTCCTCAGACCCTCCTCTTTCACACACACTATATCTGGTATTTACATCTATATACTGTGTTTCTATATCCTTTAGTCAATTGGTTTCAGTCAGAAAGTTCCCAACTTTCCGAAAATTAGTCCTAACCTAGAAAATAAAACCACTCATATGTATTCTCTCAGGTTTTTGTGAGGATTAAATTAAATATGTTTAAGTTACTTGGTATACTGACAAGCATTATGTAAGATAATCAGTGTTAACTATTGTATAATGCTAACTCGAAGCTTGTTTTATGGAGGAAGGTTTTAACAATAATACTATAATAACTTGAAGACTGTTGCCTGGAGAAGGGTATTTTAGATTTGATGTACTTGAGATTTCTGATATTTCTAAAGGCTCCTCTGGTTTTTCCTCCTACCTTCCAAGACTATATCATGACCAACATCTCCAACATCGTTACCATCATTACCACAAGTTGGTTGTAGATGTTATATTAGGTAATGAATAAAAGAGACTGCTTTTGTAAAAAACACTTAAGCTGTTGAAAAAGATTACGGTTGGGGGACCAGCGGTTAGCGTAATGGCTATGTCGCTGGACCCCCATGTAGTCAGTCGTGGTTTGCGTCCCAGACTTGGTGGCTTAAAACTCACGCCGGGCACATGTGCATGCATGCCCAAGATCCCTAGAGGAGAACGGAGGAGAAGGGATTGCGACATGGCCATCTCCCCTGGGGAGGTGATTTCTCGCTTTCTGTCTCTGTCTGTCTGGCGAGCGCACGTGCCCTATAGCAAAAACTTCTCAAAAAAAAAAAAAAAAAAGAAAAGAAAAGAAAAGAAAAGATTATGGTTGGTATTGGTTACATTTTATATGTAAGGAACTATCACCATCATCATATTTAAAAAATCCCAGGGGCCAGCAGGTGGCATGGTGGTTAAAGTCCTAGACTCGCACATGGCTGACCATGATTCTAGTAGTATAAGACTGGTAGCTTGAAAATCATACCAGATGCATGTATGTGCATGCCCCAAATACTAAGAGGAGAATGGATGAGAAGGGATTGCAGTATGGCCATCCCCCTTAGGGTGGGGGAGTGATTTTTCGTTTTCTCTCTCTGTCTCTCTCCAGCAAGCGCATGACCCCTATGTCAAAACCCCACAAAACATACCAAAAAAATCTCTTTCTCTCCAAGAAAACGGGCTGAATAACAGAGACACAGGCATTGAACACATGAAGCTGAGTGTCTGAACTGGACACGTGAACAAAGATTAAGTTGTGGGGTCATGTTGATAATAGCAAAAGCTATGTATCACAAAACTATCAAGATGTTAAAAGATGAAAGGAGTTAATGTTCTATGATTCTATGTCCTCTTCTGTACTCACGCTTTCTTTTCCCTAATTGGAGTCAGCTATATGATTTTAAATCCATTTATAAATTACTATGAATTCCAAGTTAGTATCTCCAGACTGGTATTTTCCCTTGAAATCTGCATTCATATATTCAACTATTTCCTGCCATGTCAAGTTGCATGTCTAGTAGGTATCTCGAAATAAACACGTCTATTAGAAGCATGGCTCAGGCTATGCTACAATGACAAAGCAGCAAAATAAAGTCCATCCCCCTCTCATGTAAAGTGTATTGTGTGTCAATAGAATCTGTTCTCTATTTAATAGCTCAGGAATTCTAGATCCCTTCATCTTTGATGTCATAGTGACATGCATTTTTCAAAGTTGCCAAAACAGGAAAAAGGAGAGAATGGTGAGGCATAGCAATTAGTAGCTACATTGGTCTTGAATCATATTTGCTCCCATTTTCATGAGGCTCCTGGGCCTTCATAACTTCAACTCTATTGCAAGACAAGCTGGAAAAATGGAGGAACATTTATGGGACTACAGTGGGTACTCATTATCTCTGCCACTGCCTGTACTTTTGGTCACTTAATATTTATTTGCTTCCTTTTCCCTCTTAGAGACCACACTGAAGTCTTCATATGGGGAGTCCAGCAGGTGGTGTGGTGGTTAAGGAACTGGATCCCACATGGCTGGCCACATGATTTGAGTCCTAGACTAGACAGCTTGAAAATCGTGCCAGGCGTGTGTGTGTGCCTGCCCAAAATCTAGAGAGGAAAATGTAGGAGAAGAGATTGCAGTGTGGCCATTTCCCCTGGAAAGTAATTTCTCACTTTCCTTCCATCTATTTCTGGTGAACACTTAAAACCTATAGCAAAACTAAAACTAAAACTAAAACTAAAACTAAAACTAAAACTAAAACTAAAACTAAAACTAAAACTAAAACTAAAACTAAAACTAAAACAACTGAAAAACAAATACTTCACAGGCAAAACCCTCAAGTCCTATCCAGGCACTCTGTCTAGCTCAAAGTGTGGGATCTTCAGGTAATATCCAAAAACTTTTCCATCTGATTTGGTTGGGACTCTTGGTCTAGAGTCACATGATTTAAGAATAAATGTATCTGCTTGCTCCTCACCCTGTGATAAAATATATAATGGTATAACAATGTCATTTAAAAAATATTTATTTATTTATATACATTCAATGACATTGTTTAGCTTATCACACACGTACTCACCTGCCACATCCCAAGATAGTACACTTCATAGGTAGGGCTGAGCTAAAATGCAGAATGCCAATAAAATGCAAATTGAAAATAAATCATGAACATATATTAGTAAAAGTCTATGCCAAGCCGTCTGTGGAGCACAGTTATACTGCAAATTAATTTGCTGCTTATTTGAAATTCAAATTTGAGTGGACATCCTTTATATATCTTTGCTAAATTAAGCAATGTAAATATTTTTGATACATTCAATTTTAAGGCTATGTAGTCCTCCTCATTCTAGGAATCTAGCTTACAAAAGTAAAGAGAATAGACAACTAATACAAAGACAAATATAAACATCAGCAAAATTGTTAGAAGTTATATCAATTTTTCTAATGTCCTTCCTCAGGCCCTACTGTTCCACACACACTATATCTGGTATTTATACCCATTTACTGTGTTTGTATATCATTTGGTTCATCAGTTTCAGTCAGAGTGCAGACACTCAGTATATATTAAGTGGGAACATACAATGTCTCTCTTTCATGTCCTGGCTTGCCTCATTCAGCAGTGAATCTTCCATATTATTCCACTTTCTGTCAAAAGCCAGGGTTTTGTTGGTTTTTATGGCTGAACAGTATTCCATTTAACAGCCATTTGGAAAGGTAGAAAATTTGAAACACACAATAATCATTAATTCAGAGCAATTTTGAAATCCTCACTGGGCACTCATTGGGAAGGCTCCAAACCTTGGATTTGAAAGAAGTTTCTTCTTGATGATGAACCCTTTTACTATTGTATATTTCCCTTCTTTGTCTCTTCTTAGGGTTTTTGTCTTAAAGCTTATTTTGTCTGAAAGCAGTATAGTCACTCCCGCTTTTTTGTTTTGTTTTGTTTCCGTTTGCATGGAATACCTTTTTCAAGCCCTTCACCTTTTTTAAATTTAGAGTTCTTTTATACATCCAATCATGTCATTTAGCTTGCAAAGTGAATATTCCAATATGTGTAAATTTCTCCCCAGTTCAGTTGATAATACTATAAAGTTGTCTTCAACAGATAATACCCGGGATCAGTAGTTAGCGTAATGGCTATGTCGCTGGACTCCCACGAAGTCGACTGTGGTTCGAGTCCCAGACCCGGTGGCTTAAACTCATGCC